TATACGATATCGTGGACCTATATAGACAATTCTTTTTGAGGGTGTGAAATTAATACAAGGGACTCCTTTTGTGGAATTTCAGACAATTCCATTTAAAAAATGTGGCTAAAATCATCAAAATACCGAATACCGTAGGGGTACCGTTATATGGGGGCTATATGATATTGTGGACCTATATAGAGAATTCTCTGCCGAGGTATAAAGTACCCCCAATGAACTACTTGTGTGAATTTTCAGACAATTCCATTGAAAAATGTGGCTAACATCATCAAAATACCGAATATCGGGGGGTACAGTTATATGGGGGCTATACGATATCGTTGACCGATATAGCCCATCTTCGAACTTGACCTGCCTGCAGACAAAAGAGAGATCTGTGCAAAATTTTAGCTTCCTATCTTAATTCGTTTAGACTGTAGCGTGATTACAACAGACGGACAGACGGACAGACAGGGCTAAATCGTCTTAGAATTTTACGCTGATCAAGAATATATATACTTTGTTGGGTCTAAAATGATTATTTCGATGAATTACAAACGGAATGACGAACTTAATATACCCTCCATACTGTGTATGGTGGAGGGTATAAAAATTTTATAAGAAGTGGTTTTCTTCCCCCTTAGAAGCAAAGATGTCAAATAAGGACCAAAAGACCTCAAAAATACCTTAAATCATATGATGGTGATACCAAACGTCATCATGGTTTCTTCTTAAATTAGTTCGAAAATATGGTTAAAATGTAGAATATACTTGAAATCGGGTTTTTCCGTTATCGGGGCTTATGACCCATATAATGACCTGCCAAAGCGATTAAAGATATCTTGAATGTTTAGGAAGAATTTCTATTTTGCGTCGGTATTTGACTGATTGCAGTCCCAATGTATTTTGCATTTTATGTTCTCATTTGACAATTTATTATCAAATGAAAGAAGCAGGTCCATTTTTTGAAATGAACCCTCTTTTTCGGTCATTTTTGTTTGTTTAAATGTGTTCGCATCTTCCAGCTGAAGCACGATGTAGGTCCTGAAGTAGAAAGCATTTAACATCGTATTGCGCCCTAATTTCATTTTAATATTATTCATTCAGAGTTCAAAACAATAAAAAAATAGAAATGAAAAAGAATTTCGATTCGATTCCATTGAAAAATTGTCGATTTTTCCCGATTTTAGAATTTTCATATAAAGCGACAACGGCTAAAAATGTTATTTATAGATTTTATGTATTGATTGGGTAATACGAATAAATACATAAAATCAATATAACAGTTTTATCCGTTGTGGCTTTATACTACCCAAAAAAACCTACACATTATATTAGAATTTACAAATGTACATTCGAAAATAGTAAGTCAAAATGGAAAAAATATGCAATATAAAACATTACTATTGTACATTTAAAAAGTCAAAATGAAAATGTTTAAATTTCACATTTTAGTGCGATTTTTTGGATTTTATTCTTTTCTGCCAAGCGGCAATTCCGAATTTGTCTGAATCGTTAAAATCAGACCGGCGGTCTTTATGTTATAAGAGTAATAACTAACACAACTTTATTTTACATATAGAGAAATAGATTTAAAAGTCGGCGCGTTCCTCAGCCCCTAAATAAGTACTTAGGGTTGGATGTAAAGCCAACAGCATCTCGTGTAATAATTCTCAAACCAATATCTTCATTATTTTAGCAAATATAAGGATTTTAGAAAAATCGAAATAGTGGGCGTAAAAGTAGTCGTGGTCAATATTTTTTTCTTTAAAAACCTAACTCGGGGTATGACGAATGTTTGTACAAAATATTATTCAAATCGGTCCACCCGTTCTCAACTGATTCCATTACCAACGAACAACAATTGATTTATATATAGGTTTTGCAACCGAATCTGAAATAATTTCAAATTATTGTATTTTTTATTTGAAACAATACATACACAAAATATGCATATTTTTTTATCTTTGTTCTACCTTCTGTAATTGTACCATGGTTGCTACTTATTTGAGTAAAACAATTTAATTTAATTTGTTGATTAGTATGTTACACTAAGTGCCAGCTTTGCGGACCGGGCCAGACAGTTTTAAATGATTTTTTATTTGTTTTTTATTTCTTGAATACATTCATAGAAATTAAATGAAAATGATCAACTTTCTAGAACACAGATATAGGAGCAATATCCTAATAGTTATAACTAAATTGTAATAGCTAAATCTTATACTGTGCTAAAAAAAATTGATTTAGTCCCAATAGCAACAAACAGTCGAGATTTCCTCATATATATCCCACATAATTTTTTTGGTTATATGAGACTACTTCTAAAACGAACAAACACTTTATCTGAAAACTTCTCATAATAAGAAATTATAACAAAATATAATTTTGACATCGCAAGTAAATTTTCGCATAAATTGTTGTTTCTGAGCCAATGTTGATAACAGCATATTTAATAACTGCTTATCTTATTTTAATAGATAATATTTAAAATTATATGGTAGTATAGATTTGAAAAATCGAACATTTCCACAATCGATTTCCACTAAATTTGCTAGAGGTACTTCTCTATTGCATGTGACCTCTCGTTCAAATATCATTGCCATGTAGTGCATATTTTGGGTGTGAAAAAGCTTCAATTTAAAATCGGATGAAATATGTATATTTAAACCATCGAACATTATTATTACGTAAGCATGATTATAAAAAAAAAGGAAGCAAAGGCTATAGTCGCGCGGGCCGACCATGTGATACCCTACAACACTACAATATGTTAGAAGCTTTCTTATGTCCAAATCCATTTTGGAAGATTCCGCTTTTGAAATTATATCACGGAGTACTGTCCAGATATTACCCTTAGCATTTTGACCAGGGACCTTTGTCCAATATTTACGCACTCGGTCGTGCTGTTAGTTGCTGTGGTTCATTCAACAGCTAAATATAATCCAATGGTCATCCAAAATGCTAGAATTCCTCCCTGTCCTTAACTTTCTTCTCGGGCGTGTCGATTGGGTTCCATTGGGTAATCAGGATTTTTTTTTCTATTTTTGGTTCATTTGAACCCCTAAATATTTTACGGTCATCTCCAAAAGCAAGAGTCCCCTCTATATCTCCAAATTTAGACTCATATATACGATAACTATCACATAAATGAAAACCGTTATATGGGGACTAAACGAAGACGTGGACCTGTATATTAATTTTTTTTCATAGGCTGTTGCGCCCATTACGAACTTCCAGTACGAAATTTGAAACGATTCCGGTGAATAATGTTGCTGAAATCATCAAAATACCAAATATTGGGAGGTACCATTATGTGGGGGCTATACGAAAACGTGAACCGACATGGCCCATTTACGAACTTAATCTGATTACTGGTAAACTATGCCTTCTATCTCAATTCGTTCGAAAGATATCGTCTTAAAATTTAACGCTGATCCAGAATATATATGCTTTGTAGGGTCTATAATGAATATTTCGAGGAGTTACAAACGGAATGACAAAGTTAATATACCCTCCATAGAATGGTGGAGGGTATAAAAAGCCAGAAGTTCGCCTTTTGTGTATTTCGGATATCGCCAGTAAGTAATGGTGGTATGTTTTCATACAAAAGTAGTGGTCCGTTCTGCCCGCTGTCCTAAACTCTAACTTCATGTGAGATTTCGTGTCCTTTGGTTTCTATTTGTGACCTTTATAACGGCTGCAATATCAGGAACAGTTTGATGTTGGTTCATTTCAGCCCCTACATATATATTGCGTACATCTTTGAAAACAATAGGCCTAGCCCTTCTGAGCCTAACCTTACCCTTGTGAAAGTTTTCGTGAGTATCGGACGATAATTGCAATCTGTATATAATAACCCCAACCTGTCTTGTAAGTTGAAAAAATATTACAAAATATACACTTCAATATTATAAGTCAAGTTGAAAAAAATCGCATGCGATAAAAAATATAAAAAATGGTACAAAGTACTACAATATCAATATTAACATCATTATTGGCATCTTTTATGCGATTTATTGGCTTTTATACTTTTATGCCAAGAGGGCATTCAGAATTAACAAAATTTGTCAAAATCGGTCCAGCCATTCTTGAGATATAAGCATTCTAGCTAACATCCCCTTCCTTTAAATATATACATTGTATATATTTCGCTATACATATCCGATATATTTACTATCGGCATCTACGTTACGGTCAGAATTGACCTGTTCGTTTATGTGTGATTTCGCCGGGATTAAAAATATTCGCGGTTTTATGGAAAATTTGACTATTATTTAACACAAATGTTATGGTCTGTTTCACCCACTAAATATTACCCGATGATCATCAAAATTGGAAGGCTTCTGCCCACTCCTAAGCTCTAGCCCCATGCTAACTTCCGCTTCGATTGGGGTATAATTGCAAACTGTAGAGCAGCTACACAATCAAGAAAATTTTTCATTTCAACCCCTAAATATTATCGATCATCTCCAAAAGCTATAGGCTTCTGTTATGACTCCAGCCCCATCTCCATTCTAAATTTCGTGAAGATCGGGCTATAATTGCGACCTGTAGAGTGATTACAAAATAACATGGACAGACGGACGGACATACATAGCGATCGACTCAGCTCGGCGAGATAGGAAGATCCACATATACTTTCCTATGTGGGAAACCAATATTTTGAGGTGTTACATAATTTTTGGCCCAATCAAACTTTTGTACCCTCAACTCATAGTATTGTAGGGAATTATAAATTATTAAACATAATTTAATTTTTGTACAAAAAAACGAAGCCAAATTTCATTGGCGAACGCAGTCGGTCACTGGGGCAAGGTCCGTCTATCCGACTTTGGGATAGCTGGCTGTCGAAATAAATATTCCATCGACCTACACAATTTTTCTTCGACCTATTACCGACTTATAAAGCTCTGTTAAATCAGCTTTTTTATCTAAAATTTTGAATAGAAAATTCGACCAATAGCATAAATAACATATACAAGTTTCAACAGAATTTATTAAAATAACAGAAAACTTTTTTATAAAACCATGTTGTTGTGTGTGATTTTGGTCAGATTTTTCAATTATATTTTCAGGAATTTGCTATGTAAAGTTCATCCATTTTGAAGTCTTTCGCCACACCTAGAGGCTGAGAGGCTGAAACGGTGCTGATATCCGCATCCGTGTGCATTCGAATCTCGAGAATATGTTGTCTTGTTATACAGGTTATACTCGTATCGCTTCATACTCTGTTAAAAAATTGAGCTATTGATTTGTTTATCCTGCGCCATCCCGTTTTTGGTTATTACCAAGAACGGAAAGATATAATACTTGATGGACCTTGATTTTCCCTGTTCAACTTTATAAGAGTCAATGGGTGTTCGTACTTTATAAAATCCTGTGAAAAAAAGTAAAAAAACATTAAGTTCGGCTGGGCCAAACTTTTAATACCCTCCACCTTAGAGTAAAGGAAACATTAGAAGAAATGTGGCAAAAACCATTAAAATGCCGAATATCGGGAGGTACCGTTATATGGGGGCAACACCAAAACGTGGACCTATACATGCAATGTTTTGCCACACGTACAGAGACCCGTTATGACCTACAAATACCAATTTTCAGACAAATCCGTGAAAAAATGTGGCAAAAATCATCAAAATACCCAATATCGAGAGGTTCCGTTATATGGGGACTATATCAGAACGTGGACCGATATATCTCATTTTCAATACCAACCATCCTAGACACAATACAAATTGCTCTGTTAAATTTTGGCGCTCTACGTCAAATAATGTGGGCTGTATCGTGATTTCAACAGACAGACAGACGGACATACCGACAGACAGACAGACAGACGGACATCGTTAAATCGACTTAGAATTTTATGCTGATTATGAATATATATACTTTATGGGGTCTACGACGAATATTTAAGGATGTTACAAACGGAATGACAATGTTGGTATATTAACTTTCCAAGGTGAAGGGTATAAAAATTAATAACTTTTTATGTTTAAATTGTATTGTAAATTTCAACTAATTTTTAAATACAATATCATACCGTATCATTTCAATAATTTCATACGATAACAATTTGAATTTTTTATTAAAACATTTGTTCACCTTTTGTTACATTACTCCTCCACCTTATCATAATCACAGACTGTGTGCCAATTTATTCACCTGTGTCTCGTTATTTAATTTCCATCTGACTTTTGTGTCCTTCACAAGTTTCTTGGGGTTATTGGCGTCTTACGACAGGCAGGCAAGCTGAGCGACAGACAAATGACAAAATAACTGAAAATTGAAGGATAAAAAGATTTGAGCCAACAAATTCTATTCAAATAAAAATGCACACCTAGTTGTTGTAATTCTTAAAGGTAAGGCGGGTAAAACTGACAATGCCTTATTTTATGTAAGTGTGTAGGGGTGGGTGGGAGTGTATGTGTCTGTGTGGTAGGGAGTTTCGCTTGGAATGGATGAATGTCCTTCCATAATACGTAATTGTATTCAAGATGTGATATAAAATTGAAATGCGCTTTTTTGTTGTTCTTGCTGTTGCTCATAACACCGGTAATCGTAAATTAATTTTAAATCCAAATTATTATTCTCCACCTGTGACACAGCATTATCTATATTTGAGAAAAGGGTAAAGCTGCAGAGTATGGCAGATGCTAACAAATATATTTTGGAAACATTTCTATGAATTTTGATATCATATCAGATTCAATGACATTCCTTCGAGAAATTGCAGGACCAGATGAATTACTTTGATAAAGAGGAAGTTAAAAAGCCAAAATTCGAACCATATTTTTTATGAGCGGATTGTAACGATGTATTATACACTTCGGTTGAATGGAGGATTATCTAAACAAGAGGTTGTCAGGACCGACCAAATGAAACGCTATAAGACTTTGGGACACAATTGTGCAACTTAAATGTGTTATATGTGTATCCTCATCTGTAACCATATATAAGGTTGGGTTTGAATTGTTCACATTAAATTTGATAGATGTGCTATTATATTACATGATACCTCTCCTACATCATCATATCATTTATCCAAATCCAAAATATGCACCTTGGATTTGAGAAAGGTTCAATTTAAAATTTTCAATTTTAAATTTTTTTCAATTTAAATTTAAAAATTAATATATGACAGCTACAATCATAACTGAATCGATTTGGTCAATATTTGGTAGACTTTATTCTAGTCAGAACATTATTTTATGATCAAAAATTCAATCGCAGCATGGTTTGTGTATGATGTACATCGTGTTAGAGGAAAATATACAGGATGAGATAAAAATAACTGCAACAAAGTCAAACGCCACAAATTTTACAGCTTTTTTTAAATCTGGCTGTATGTGTATGTGTGAAAGCAAAACATTTCGGAAATTGCATCAAAATTTAGGAAAAGTATAGATATGTTCGAATAGGTCACCTTTGGCAAGAATTATGACCTTCAAAAGGTCAATAAAACCGTTATTTTGGCCAATTCCCGAAGCGCTTGCTTGAGGAGATCGACTCTCTGTTGTTTTTTAGTGCCATCCTTGCTTTCGAAAATACTCCAGATACAAAAGTCCAACGGATTGGTGGTCATTTTTAGCTGGAAATGAATGAGTAGCCTAATTATGTAGCCATTTTTGGGTGGCGCGTGCGGAGTACGATGATGCAGAGTCCTGTTGGAATGTCCAAGGTCTGCTGTCAAATGTTTGCGTGTCCATGGCTTTAATACACCCTCCAGAAGATTTTCTCGATAATATTCGGCATTTATTCTGATGCCATGGACGATTAATACGAGCGGAGAGCGACCATCAGCTTTCATGGCGGCCCACACCATCACCATGGCCGTCGCTTGAGTTCTGGTGGCCAATCGAAGGTGCACACTTTCAGCTGACCTCTTTGGCAAGTAAACACGATCATTTTGTTTGTTTACAAACTGCTCGACAACAAATGTTTTCTCATCGGAGAAAACCAAATTCGGCAGTTCACCACCTTCGGCCAAGCGAAGCAACTCTCTTTTGAGTCTATTTTCTCTACACTACACTTTTTGGAATTTCAATGGATTTACCCCAAGCTCATTTTACAATATTTGCCGAATGGAATATTGCGATATGTATTTCGATCAAGTTGCTTCTATATTTTTCGAACCATTTCTGATGATGTTGCTGTTTTCTTCCGTCCACTCCCTTGACGTCGGGCTACGCTACCAGTATCACGGTAACGAGCGATGGTACGAGATATAAAAGATTTATTCACATTTTAATGCTGGTGTGATCTAACGATAGCCACTTGTGGTTTTCCAGCCAAATATAAAGAAATCACACTGTCACGCTTGAATTCCATCACGAATAACTTTTTTTCTGGAAATTCTGACTAAAATGCTTTTGTACGCTTGTAAACAATATAATGAGCTGTCACTGGAATAGGCTTAACAGCTGTCGGACGAGAGGCTTAGAAATAACAGCAGTCTGAAGTTGGGTGCAGTCTTTTCATTTCACTCTGTATATGGGAACTATATATTAGTCTGAACCGATTTGGCAATGTTACTTTTAAGCTGTATGTGTTATATTTGGCACATTTTATTAAAAAAGAGAGTGTGTAACATCTTTGAATTACATAAATATTAAATCGGATGAAACATATCTATGACAGCTTTACCTATATTTGAACCGATAATAAGGAGAAATAATTACGTGCCAAAACTCATTCAATTCGGACAAATATTACACATTTGGTGAACATTAAAACTTTTTTAATTTAATACATCGCCTATATATTGTGATCATCTTCAAAACTTATAGGCTTCTATTCAGTCTCTAAGACTGATTCTGTATCTGGTTATAATTACGGCCTATGGAGTGATCAGAAAAAAAGGAAATTAAATTTAAAAGGTATAAGTTCGGACGTACTGAACTTTCATATCTTTTTTCACCGGCTTTAGTACCTATTACGAACTTCAAATACGAAATTTGAAACAGTTCCGGTGAACAATGTCGCTGAAATCATCAAAATACCGAATATATGGAGCTACAGTTATATGGGGCTATACCTAAACGTGGACCTATATAGCCCATTTTTAATACCAAAAGTCCTGCAGATCAAGCACATATTTGAGTAAAATTGTATCAACCTACTTCAATTCGTTCGGAAGTGACTGTGATTTCCACAGACGACAGGCGGACGTATCGTTAAATCGACATAGAATTTTATGCCGATAAAGTATATGTTTACCTTGTGAGGTCCAATTCATCTCGATCAGGGAACAAGAAATTATTTGAAAAATGTTAAGATAATTTCGTTGTTAAGATAATTTCGTTGTCCAAGAGAAATATCCTTTGAGTCACAACGCCTTTATCATACTGTGAATCAAAGAGACATATATTTTTCCAATTCCTTCCATCCCTTATACTTGACAACTCCCCTCCATGTCAATTACTTGTCACTCTAACAGCTACCTTTTGCGTTTGCCTTTTCCTGACATGCGTTTGTAAATGTCACCGTAGTTTTCATTAGCCAGCAGTTGCTGTTTTCCTACGGGGGTGGAGAAAGTGGATTGTAATGAGGCTGGGAATATTTTCATAAAAAGGGGAATGAGTGCTCGTGTCGCTGTTGGTAGTTAAAGTAATTAGAGTGTGAATAATTTTGCCCACCCCTACTTTTTTCCATCGTCTTTGCAACCCCTTTACACGCGTCAAGTTTTCATTTATTCGGTAACTCTTTTTAATGATTGCCATTGTTCCCTTGTCTTTTGCCTGTTTCTGTCTTCGTTATGTTGGTTGATATTAAATTGTCTATTCCGTTTACCTTATGCTGTTGGTTTCTATTAGCCTTGTTACCGCTGTTGGTGTTGTTGTTTTTCCTTGTTCCTTGTTATGATGATGATGATATGTTAATTTGTGTTTAACTGCCTTAATAAGATGCCTCAATGGCTTAATGTCGCTAAAGCCTTTACTATTTCCAAGTCTTTAGCACAGTGTAACGAGACGTGCCCTGTATATGGTTCTGTATAAAATTGATCAACACTAGGAAAATTATGGTCCTGTTAAGTATATATGTGATCACGGATTTTGGAAGGAGAAAATCACCGTCATCTCCGTATGTAAAAACGAAAAATTTACGTATTTAGATCACATTGAAAGGCCCCAAACTAGACACTGCTTGGTGGGGAAATTGAAATTGAGCAATGAGTGGCCGTTACGTTATCGGACCACTTTGAACGAATTTTGTTCACAAAAAGTTAAGGGAGATTATGAGAACAATTGCATTCAACAGGACGGCGCCATGTGCCACACAGCCGATGCTTTTCAAAAAGATTTTTAAAAAAGATTGGAAAACGCGTTAAATCTGTTAAAGACATGCATGTTTTTTTTTCAAATCTAAACTGATTTTTATACCCTCAGCCATATGGCTACAGAAGGTATATATTATTTGATACGGTCAAAACGTGCTTGGTCGAAATAACGGTTTTAAACTCTTTAGGTCTCTTTGGACCAAATCCGTTTCAGGACATTTGGAGTCGATCAGGCAATGTGCGGTGCGACGATAACTCTTGAAGGGGGTATCCGATTTGGTCCAAACTTGATACATCGTAATATATATTGGTCCACTCCTTCTATTTTCTACACAGAAAGAGAAATCATAATCCGATTTTACTCCAACTTTGTAAATCCTAATATTTGAGTCAGTTCTAAGCCAGGTGAGAAAATGGACAATATCGGGTCACTCTATCAAGTGCTTTCCCCACAAAGGGTCAAAATTTTGAATAATTTTATCTCTTATAATATGTAATGTAAAAATCCGATGGTTTTAAAATTTCACACAGCCCAATATTTTTATTAACTCAAGATCTGGTGTTAAGATTGAATATACCGGTCCACTCCTTCCCCATAGAAGGTCGAAATTTGGAATAACCATAAAACTCGTGAAATTAACATCCGATTCCATTCAGACTTGGTACATTTGAATATGTCCATCAACACAGGATCTGTTATAAAAACGGTAGAGATTGGACCATTCCTTCTGGTACCTCCACCACAAAGGTCCAAAATTTTGAATGTCCATGAAGCTCATAAAAAGCGAAATTAACATCCGATTCCATTCCAGACTTGCTACATCTTAATATTTCGATCAACACAAGATTAGTTATAAAGACAGTAGAGATGTGACCATTTCTTTTGCTACCTGCCTCATATAAGGTTCAAGATTTTAAAAAACAAAACGCACAAATAAAGCGAAATAATCATCCAACTCTCCTTAAATTTCATACATACAAACATTTTTGCCTTCTCAAA